CTCGGAGCTCCCGTGCAGACGGGATGTGTCGGTAACTGGGCTGCGGGCAGTCGGGGCCGTTAGATGTGCTCGCCAGCCTTGGCACGGGCCCTGGACGGTGCGCAGCTAGGAGGGAGGTGAACTTTCGGTCCCAAAGAGGGACGCTGTCGGTGTGGGGAGATGCTTCACTAGGGCACCAGCCAAGTACCGGAGCTCAGGGACCGGGTCTGTTGCCGCGTGGGATGGATGGATGCACGTGGGGAATGCTGCTGTCAGCCACACCAGGGGCTGTTTCCAGTGGTCTGGTTTGTCTGCAGCTAGGGAGAGTTTAGCTTAACCAGATGTATGTAAACTGATGCTTCTCCTCAACAGTCAAATTCTGTTATAGCCCCATCCTGGGAGGTGTCACAGCTAGCAATGCAGTAGATGATAAATTTTCCCATAAGAATTAGGTGAGGTTACATGTGCACAGAGTTATGAAATGCACACGTGATGCAGAAGACTGGAGAGTAGGAGTATTTTTTTTTTTTGGGTAATTTTTAGCAGTCTTCTTTAAAGAAATAATCACCACCCTGAAAGACTTTTACCCCTTCATCTATGAGATCCAGCATAAGTCTAACGTAAGTGTTCTTGGAGCCTCTTTCAAGCTGACTGTGTTCCCCCCAGTGCCATCATCTTCCTCGGTGATTCAAGACAGATCAAGTCTGTCTAGACTGAAAGGTGGAGGATGGGGTGATGAGCAGAGCAGGGTGGTAAAACAGTCAGCAGCACAGCTCTGAAACAATGGCTAGAGGAGCCACAGAGTGTTTTTTAGGTATGAATTCTGTAATCGTTGCTGTGTGGGAATACTGTTGCTGTGATGGTGAATTTCTGCTTACTGACTCCACTCTCCTGTGCAGCTGAACGAGCTGGTGGTGGGAGACACCAGTGGGAAGCTCTATGTCTACAAGAACGACGACAGGAAGCCCTGGGCTGTGCGGTCCTGCCAAGGAATGGTCAGTTCTTGACTACACGTCTAGGTGGCTAGGCCTGGTGGTGTATGTGCAGCCAGCTGACCACTGCCTGGCAGGGTGTAGGCCAGGGGGGAGTGGCAGCCACGGCTGGCCCTGGTGCCTCTCCTGCAGCTGTGCAGGACCCTGTGCTTGCCCACAGCCAGCCCCAGGGGCTGCAGTCGATGGCAAAGTGCTGGACAAACACTGGGCTTCTGTCCCCCCTTCACCCCGCTCCTCTGTACTGTGAATTTTGCCCTAGGGCTCGGGGCAGTTGTGTGGCAGATGTGTTTCTGTTCCTGACTCTGCTCACTTTGTCCTTGAAAAGGCTGTTTTGAGTTCAGGAGATGGTCTGGGGGGTCGGGCAGAGGCTTAGCTCAGAGAGCTGTTTTGGGTTGCCTTCTCTCATGTCATGTGGCCTTTTCCCTTGCAGCTCACATGTGTTGGCGTGGGAGATGTATGCAATAAAGGAAAGGTGAGAGCAGCCAGACTGCCCAGCCGTGTCTGTGGGGCATGTGGGAGATCTTTGGAAATAAGGGTCATGTCATGTCCTGGGTGTGGAGGAGGGCAGGTTGCAGGTGCTTTCTGTCCAGGATCTGCCCTTGCTCCTGCTTTTAGCACTGCTGTTTTATAACAGTTCTGTTCACACGTCACCCATATCTGTCCCTGTGCATTTCCATGAGTGAGGCAATCCACCCTGTCTCCAGAAAGCACTGCTGAGTTCCCTGTCCACTGGGTGAGCACCACAAGGCTTTGGGGCTTTGAGGGCTGCTCCTTTCCCACAGTGGCTTTTGCCCTGCTCTGTGCTGGTCCCTGCTGTGGGACGTGGCCCTTCTGCCACTTGGCTTTGTCATCCAAACAAGGCTGAGCCACAGAGTAGCCTAGACTCCCAAGAAATCCCACTAGCTCTAATATGACTCCCTTTGTTGGGTTGCTATCTCTGGAGGTTAAGCCAGGACCAATGAGTCCAAAAGTCCCATTTTAGGCACCCTGCCTAAAGTACTGCAGCTCAGTGTGCTCCAGTGAGCATTGGAAAGCTGCACAGTGTTTGGGGATTGCAGGCCAGTATCCTGGTCTGCCAAGAATGAGCAAGAATGATCAGACCCTGCAGTACCTGAGGAGTTTGGATGCCAGCAAAAAACTTGCTGGTGTTGCCTCTGTAGTGGTTACTGATCTGGATGGTCCTACCCTTGTATCTGCCTTCTCCCTGCTGTGGGACAGTTTCTGCAGTTTCTCAAAGAGGAAGGATCAAAAGGGTTTGGTTTTGGTTGTTTTCCCTTTTAGAATCTTGTGGTGGCAGTGAGTGCAGAGGGCTGGTTCCATCTCTTTGACCTGACTTCTTCAGCTTCAAAACACCCAGATGCTTCGGGGCACCACGATCTGGCAGCAGCAGAAGAGCAGAAGCCAGTGTTCAAGCAGCACATCCCTGCAAACACCAAGGTCATGCTGATCAGTGACATTGGTGAGCTGTGAACTTGGTGTGGGAGTTTGTGCCTATGAAGTGGCAGGGGAGAGAGAGGAATAGTGTGTGGGACTCAGAGGAGGAACTGCCTGTCTCTGAAATGGATGCTCTAACCAGAGCCAAGTCACGGAGGAGAGGCAAGAGTGCCAGGAGTGTTCCCCAAGGGCAAGCTCTCATTGCAGGACTGGGGCCCTAAGGGGTGCTACCTGTTGGAAATGAGCACGCTGTTTTCTGAATGTTTGGGCTCTTGGGGCTCTGAAAACCTGAGAGAAACCACCTGTTTTCTTTGTATTCCCTGCAGATGGAGATGGGAAGTGTGAGTTGGTGGTGGGTTACACTGACAGGGTGGTGCGTGCCTTCCGCTGGGAGGACCTGTCAGAGAATCCAGAGCCCTAAGGGGTGCTACCTGTTGGAAATGAGCACGCTGTTTTCTGAATGTTTGGGCTCTTGGGGCTCTGAAAACCTGAGAGAAACCACCTGTTTTCTTTGTATTCCCTGCAGATGGAGATGGGAAGTGTGAGTTGGTGGTGGGTTACACTGACAGGGTGGTGCGTGCCTTCCGCTGGGAGGACCTGTCAGAGAATCCAGACCATATCTCTGGGCAGCTGCTCCTGTTTAATGGCTGCTAGAAGGTCAGGTAAGGAAACTGGATGTCTAGTGTTGTTAAGTGGCTTATGGTAGAGAGACACAACCTCTTCCTGTAACTTGGACATCTTGCTTCTGGCTGAATTTGTTGAGCCCTTGCTCAGCTCTAGCAGCAGATCTGGCATGTTCAAGCTGAGGCACAAGGAGCACGGTGAACCCTCCTGAGGAGCCCCATGTTCTCAGCTGCACTGTACCCTTGTTTCCCCTGCCAGTGCAGGTGGACAGCCTCTCTGTCAACCCAGGCCCTGACGGCTCTCCAGAGATGATGGTGTCTCAGCCAGGCTGTGGCTACGCCGTGCTGCTCTGCACCTGGGACTCTGAGCAGCAGGCCCCTGCCGAGGGAGGAGACAGCCCTGCCCCGAGCAGGTGAGGGGGGACAGGCATCCCATGGAGCCTTGACAGCCCTGCCCCGAGCAGGTGAGGGGGTTAGGGAGGGGACAGGCATCCCATGGAGCCTCGACAGCCCTGCCCCGAGCAGGTGAGGGGGGACAGGCATCCCGTGGAGCCTCAACAGCCCTGCCCCGAGCAGGTGAGGGGGTTAGGGAGGGGACAGGCATCCCGTGGAGCCTCGACAGCCCTGCCCTGAGCAGGTGAGGGGGTTAGGGAGGGGACAGGCATCCCGTGGAGCCCTGGGGGCAGCGCTGTGCCAGCATGTGGGGGTGGGGGTGCTGGTGCTCTGCCTTGTGCCAGTGGCTGCTGTGCTGCTGGCAGTTTGGGACTTAAACCCTCCTGCACCCTAGTGTCCATGAGCACTCTTCATGTCTCTGTCACAAAGGTGATTGCTGCTTTCCTTGTGTCCCACTCTCCTCTCCTTGGGTTGAGCAAGGAGAGTGGCAGAATCGGCTCGCTGAGGGGGGCAGTACTGGGGCTGAGGCAGAGCAAGGAGGGAGTTAGATCTCCAGAAAAGAGTAACAGACAGTGGGGGACCTGCTGGGAAAGGGTAGCAGCTGAAGGGCTGGGCCGAGCCCAGGTGGTCTGAAACACAGGATGACACTGGGTTCATTCAGTGGGTTCTTTCAGGTGGGGTAGTTGGAGGTTTTCCTGTGAGACCCCTGGCAGCCAGTGCTCTAAATCACAACCAGAGCAATTGGGATGAGCAATGAAGTTGTTGTCCTTAGCAATGGAGGGACCCTTGTGGGGAATTCAGGTGCTTCTGTGGTGTTCTGTGGGACTTCAGAGCAGACCCAGGAAGCTGGAGCTGGAGGGGAGCTAGGCAAGTCTTCCTGGTGTCTTGGAGCCCGCAGTGGAACGTTGCCCTCCTCACAAGCAGCCAGGCCCAGGCCTGATCTCTGGCCAGCCCATTTAACCCTGGGCAGATGCCTTCTGCATAAAAAGCAGCCAGGCTTACATGACAGTAGTTATTAAGATTGTCTGTTTTTTACTTGATCAGAGTACATGTTTTTTGAGCTTTTTCCAGTTTTCTGATGCATCAAATCAGATGTTTTTTTTAAACATCAGTGAGTTCTCTTCACACCTGGGGTAGCACGGGTTCTTTTCCTTGGGCTGTGTTGTTAAAGGGGCTGAGCTGTGCACAGCCTCCCGGTCGCTGGCTCTGCAGACCCGTGGAGCAGACAGCCCAGGCTGCCCTGGCCCCGTGCCCAGCCCTGAGCTGTGCCCCCTGTGCCCTGCAGTGAGGGGCCAGCCCGGGACGTCGTCCTGCACCAGACCTCGGGGCGCATCCACAACAAGAACGTCTCCACTCACCTCATCGGGAGCATCGGCCGGGGTGAGTCCTCAGGAGCTGGGGCTTTGCTGCAGCAGTTGTCCTGGAGTTTGCCAGCCTGGTGTGGAATCCCGTTTCCTGGGGCTGAGAAGTAACAGTGGAGGGCAGCTGCAGGAACAGGGAACCCAGCTTCTGTTAGCCAGCTCCCAAAGAAAGACAGCTGCATACTTGCATTTGAACCTCCCTGGGTAGCTCTTGCTCTCCACCTAGCACAGCAGCTTCTCTGCAGCTTCCAGGGGCCTGCATTTGGTCACCCTGCGTGGCTGCCATGCCTTGCTCCTGCAGGTGTCCTTGGTCTTTGCTTTTGCATGGCTGCAGCTGATGTCCTCTTCTTATTCCCTACATGCAGCTTTTCCTTTCCACAACCTCACTTTTCGTCTTATTTTTGTGCTTTTCAGCATTTCATTCCTAGCAGCTCTGTCCTGCTCTCCCTGCCCTTGTGAGTCCCAACCCCTCTGGAGCTGCTTCTGTAGTTTGTTTATACCACTGTCCTTTCAGTGTGTTCTGTTCAGCTGCCAGCTCCCCTCAGCCCTGGCCCGCTGCTGTTGTGGCCAGACCTTTCTTACATGCTGCCACTGCTTCCCTTACATAAGTTT